GATCGCTTCATAACTTAATTCAGCGCCCCAAAACGCCCACAAAATTTGGTCCATGGTTTGGTAATTTTGGGTGGTTTTTCTTAAATCTACCATTTATTCTCTTTAATTTATCATTTATTATTGTACCTTTTTTGTTCGTAAATGTTAGAATTGGTTATCGAATAATTAAAAAATATGAAAAAAATAATGGATAAAGTCGAAAAATATTAAAATAGACTGAACTAAATTAAAAATTTTAAAATAAGGTTAAAATACCATTTTAGCCCTTGTACGTTGGGTTCGATTCCACCGAGTCTTTATACAAAATTTGAAAATTATTTTAAAGATTTATAAAAAATATTAAGACTAAATTTAAATAATTGAAAAATACCAAAAATATTATATAATAGGCCAATTTAAGCATAATTCAGTAATATTTTGATTAATGTTTTCGAAATTGTTTTATTAAAAAAATTAAAAACATTTTGAAAATAAATTTGAGACAAAATGTTATGCAATCATTAACATATTTTATTAATGAAAAATAAAGGGCAAAGGAGGAATTATAGAAACAAATGGAGGGCAAAATGGGAACAAAAGTTCTTTTTTAAAATTAATATTTATATGGTAAAGATGGGTATATAATGTATTAAATTGAGCATTATTAACGTTAATTTTGAAGCATAATTAATTAAAATAATTAGCTTAATCACATAATTAAGAGTGAAGAAAGGAATATTCGGCGAAGGCCACGGTCACGGGCCATGGGGTCCCTTTCAGTTTCCTTTTTAACTCGCTCATGATTTCCACTTTCTTCCTCTCCCACTGTTCTTTCAATTCTCTTTATAATCGTGTTTTTGATTTGGCGCTCTATCTTCCACTCACTTTAATCCAAATGCCACTTCCATTTGCTCCGTTGGAAAAATCGACGGGAAGTTTGTAGCCAAGTTTGTTGTTCTTCCTCCAATTTTCCGCCCTTTGATCGATATCTAAAACCCTCTCATAATCTCTAAATCTCGATTCGATCGCTACGTATTCATTTTCTCGAGTTTTTTGGGATTTTCGGTCAATACTTTGCCGGTAAGTTGTGTTTTCTTCTGGGTTGTTCTTGTTTTGTGGGTTTTTCTACGTGGATTGGTGTGTTTTTGATGGGGGAGAGATCAAATTTGATGGAATTCTTGGCTTTTTGATGATTGGATTTGGTTTCTTTATGCGGTTTGATATGATTTTCTGATTCTTATGGAATGGAATGGATGTAGCGTACTATGGATCTCTTATTGTTTTTTATTATCTTTCATGCACATTCTATTGGTTATTGAGATTTGGATAGCTTTTGGTGGAATTATTCATAGGACCTTTAGTTTAAACTCTGTTTTTGTTAAGAAATCAAGTCATTTCCTAGCTCTGAGAATTGAAATCAAACAATTTGGTATTGCTGTTCATTATGTTGTTCTTTTTGACTTTCTTTTATGCTGATTTGCTCATGGATTTGCGTGGTGTTCTTGTATCTGGATCTGTATTTGTAGTGAAGGTTAAGATGGTTTTGATAAAATATTGTAGCGAAGCCAAGGAGCTGCTCTGCCATTGCTTTTGTGAATGGGTTGTATTCAGTCTAAAGGAAGCAAACAATTTCCTGGATATGAAGATCCTATATACCTTGCTTCACAAACTGCGTGTAAGTTGTGCTTTGTTTATGGTCTCTGAGTTTTGACTCTCATATATTATTCATAATGCTTCTTGATTCAACAGTTAGTGTTAGTGAAGTTGAAGCATTGTTTGAGCTGTATAAGAGCATTAGCAGTTCTGTCATAGATGATGGTTTGATAAACAAGGTATTTGTTTCTGTCACGACGAACCGAACGGGGTTATCCGTTGGTTGGTGTGTGTGTTTTTCGTACATTTCGATCATGAAAGGTATTTGAATGCACATTGTTTGGGTAATTGTTATGCAGGAAGAATTTCAGTTGGCCATTTTCAAGAACAGAAAGAAGGAGAATCTGTTTGCGAATCGGGTAAAATATATACTCTCGAAATCCTTGATCAAAACTGTCAGCTAGTCATCTCCATTGGATTGAATTTGAACATTGCAATATGGTTTTTAGTAATATTTTTGTAACAGCCTAGCTCACTGTTAGTAGATATTGTTCTCTTTGGACTTTCCCTTCCGGGCTTCCCTTTAAGGTTTTAAAACACGTATGCTAGGGAGAGGTTTCTACACCCTTATAAGGAATGTTTTGTTCCCCACTCTAACCGACGTGGGATCTCACAATCCACTCTCCTTGGGAGCCCAATGGCAAACATTCCCTTTAAGGTTTTAAAACGCGTATGCTAGGGAGAGGTTTCTACACCCTTATAAGGAATGTTTTGTTCCCCACTCTAACCGACGTGGGATCTCACAATCCACTCTCCTTGGGAGCCCAATGGCAAACATTGTCTCTTTGGGCTTTCTCTTCTGGACTTCCCCTTAAGGTTTTAAAACGAGGGAGAAGTTTCCACGCCCTTATAAGGAATGTTTTGTTTCTCACTCTGACCGACGTGGGATCTCACAACTTTGGTAGTGAATCAAAGAACTTCTTGTGTCCTTAATGACTTGACTCATGGTTTCATTTGATTGATATACATTCCCATTTGTTTGAACCAACCTGTCTTATTAGCATATTTTAAGGTTGGATCCTTTTTGCTTGCAGCTCTTTGATCTATTTGATGTTCAGCAGAAAGGGTTCATTGATTTTGGTGACTTTGTAAGATCATTGAATGTCTTTCATCCTAATGCTCCCCAGGAAGTCAAGATTGAGTGTAAGTGTGCAGCATATGACATAATACATGACTTCTTTTATTGATTTACATGTGGCTGATGCTCGTTGTTTATTTAATATTCAGTTTCGTTTAAGCTTTACGATTTGGATAACACCGGATTCATCGAGCGACAAGAGGTATGTTTTCAATGGTTCAGCTCGAATCACATCAATATTGCAAGTAACACTAAAAACGTAGACAAATTTTCCTCCATTTGAATTAGATCCGTTCAGAAAACGTTTTCAATGTTTTAAAGTCACTTGAAAATAACTCAACTGGTTAAGATATATATCATTGGAGGTCATAGGTTCGAATCATCCAACCCCATCTTCGACCAAAAATGAAGATATGTGTGTGTGGTGTCACGGTCATGCTCGTTCAGGGCGTGTTCCACTGTTCTTCCCGTTCATTTAGTTTCGTCTGTTGGCTGCTAAGAGCTTTCTGATTTATTGACTATGGCAGGTGAAGCAAATGCTAATTGCTCTTCTCTGTGAATCTGAGATGAAGTTAGCTGATGAAACAATAGAGATAATACTTGATAAGGTGAACTACCTTAAAACTTTTGGATTAGAAATTTTTAGGGACTTGAAACATATTATCAAACAATTGTGGGGTCAATCTGCGAAAGAAAAATAGAGTTAGGGAATGATCTGAAATAGTTTTGACTGGTTCTAATGCTCAATTGTGAGGAATAATAATTGCAAACTACACCCCTAAGATGTTTCTATTTTCAAATCACACCCCACCATGTTGTAGAATTGGTTTCAAGCCAGTAGAGTGACAATCAAGAACACGATACCGAGTATCGTGTCGCAGTCACCTTTAAATCTCATGGAATATCTTTTTGTTTTTGTTTTCGATATATGTGGATAGACTTTCTTGGAGGCTGATGTGAACCAAGATGGGAAGATAGACAAGATTGAATGGCAAAATTTTGTTTCTAAGAATCCATCGTTATTGAAAGTGATGACCCTTCCATACTTGAGGTAAGGAATAAGCATATGAACATGAATAGATAGATAGTAGCTTTCAAGTGTTCTTGACCACCGGCGCTTGTTTTTTGGCTTTGGTTTGGGCAGAGACATAACCACCACCTTCCCAAGTTTTGTGTTCAATTCTGAGGTGGATGAGATAGCCACATGAGAGTGAGATAGCCATATGAAGCAGCCATTGTTGTGTTCTTGTGAAGAAATGGGCGTTTTGATGGAAGGAAAAGTAAAAGGAAAAATGAGTTTTTGCTCTTCCCTTCTCCACAGAAGTGTAGTTTGAGCAATATTGGTCTCTTTACACTATTGAATTGTAAATCTTCATTGAGAATTTTTGTGGCTTTTCATTTGGCTATATGAAGTTTGTACAAAGAAAAAAAAAACGAGAGCTTTGTAATCTCATTTCGATCTTGTTGCTTTGTATATATGTATTGAAAATATATTTATATTAAGTGAAATGAGGATGGGACGGAGAATATGAGTTATGTCCCCTTATTCCTTTATTTGATGGAGAAAATTAAACAAGGAACCTCATCTCTGTTCGAGATGGGTAAAATGGTTATCTCTGTGTCTAACATAAAAAAAAAGGAAGGAAAATGAAAAAAAATTGGATAACAATCAGAAAGCCAAGGGTCTTAGTTGTGATAATATGTATGTCCAACACTAAGATATTTCTGTTAGTCCATCACCACCTTTGAGCCAATGTAAGGTGGAGGATGACAATCTAATTATCTACCGAGTTTTCAGTCCAATACCCATTTCCATCGTTCATAAGATTGGTTGGAGAGTTAGAATCATCTCATAGCCACAATGGTATGTTGTCGTCCACTTTGAGCATAAGCTCTCGTGATTTTGCTTTGGGCTTCTCCCAAAAAGTTTCATATAAATAATATAATTATTATGAACACGACTCTCTACAATATTGTCGACTATGAGCATAGGCTCTGATGGCTTTGCTTTGGGCTTCCCCAAAAGGCCTCGGGAGTATTATTTGATTATAAACCCCTCGTGCGAATGGAGAGAGTATTCTTTGATTATAAACCCATGATCATTCTCGGTCACTTTCATCATTCAACAATATTTAGATAACCAATTATGGTTAGTTTATCAAATTATTAGAATAATTTTAACCAATTAAATTTTAATTTAATTTTTGCTTTAAATTTTAGCAATAATAATAGTTATTCTCCAATAAATTATTTAATAAAATTGTACAAGCGAGCATAATTTAATAATAATAATAATAATTTCACCGCTCAAAAGAGTAAAAAAAAATCACCATCGAATCACGGCGGCGAGGAAAGAGGATGGAAACGGCGACGATGGAGCCGACGGAGAAAGCGGCCACGGGATTGAATTGCGAAGCCATGGATTGCTTGTCGGAAAGGCTTTCGTTGCAGGTAAAATCTTTACTGCCACGAATCCGTCTCAACGCAAGGCCAATCTGCTCGACCTTCTTTCTCGCGATGTCGCCGTGTTTCTTCGCCTCTCTATAACTCTGGATTTTTGCAACTTCTGGTATGGATTCCCCCCCCAAATTTAAAAGCGCCCTTAGCTTGATTGATCGAATTCGAAGGATAAATTTTGAGAGATTTGAATGAGTAGGTTTAATATGGTGAGGAGATTTAATGGAAATTATCTGAATGCTGTGCCCTATGGTTCTGTTTCATAATCATCTAGCTTTTGGAAATTAAGTTTATAAACGCTACTTCCATCCATTCCATGAGTTTCTTTTCTTTGGTAATTATTTTGATTTTTATCCTTGGATGTTGCCTTGTTCTGTTCATTTAAATATTCTTATGTTTGTTGCTCCTCCAACTCTGATTGATGTAGAGCGTTATGGATCATAGTTGATATCCATTGAGCTCCATGAGTTTGATGCTCTTAAGGATGATCATGAGATCAATGTGCATTGAAAGCACATTTGGAGTGTAAAGAGTCCGATATCAGATGAACTACACTTTAGGTCAGTTATTGTGAAGAATAGGAGACGAGCATATCTGAATAAACTGATATGTGATGGCCAGTACTTCTCGGAGGATGCAATGAGGGGGAGAGAGCCTTTTTTGCATCATGAATACTTAGGGAAGTTTCAGGATCCAAGTGGGAGAGGAATGGCAAGACCAGGGGAGCGATGATGAGGAGATTAGAGGAAGCAATGTTGGTTGCTAAGATCAGAGTAGAGCAATGTAGGTGTGAGATCCCACATCGGGTTGGAGAGGGGAACGATGAATTTCTTATAAGGGTGTGGAAACCTCTCCCTAATAGACACGTTTTAAAAATCGTGAAGCTGACGACGATACGTAACGACCCGAGGTAACTAAGCTTGCTAATGGAGCTCATTCCATTGATAGTTAATGATATTTGACTCTTTCATTTGTAGGTAACCAGGGCCATGGATGAACAGACAATAGTCAAGCTGCCGAGGTGGGTCTGCTAGGGAGAGGTTTCCACACCCTTATAAAGAATGCTTTGTTCTCCTCTTCCACCGATGTGACATCTCACAATCCACCCCCTTTCGAGGTCTAGCGTTCTTGCTGGCACACCGTCCGGTGTCCACCCCTTCGGGGCTTAGCGTCTTCTCTGGCACGCCGCCTGGTGGAGGGTGGATTGTGAGATCCCATATTAGTTGGAGAGGGGAACAAAACATTCTTTATAAGGGTGTGGAAACCTCTCCCTACTAGACACGTTTTAAAAATCGTGTAGCTGACGATGATACGTAACAAGCCGAGGTAAATAAGCTTGCTAATGGAGCTCATTCCATTGATAGGTAATGATATTTGACTCTTTCATTTGTAGGTAACCAGTGCCATGGGTGAACAGACAATAGTCAAGCTGTCGAGGGTGTGTTTGTTAGGGAGAGGTTTCCGCACCCTTATAAAGAATGCTTTGTTCTCCTCTTCCACCGTTGTAAGATCTCACAATCCACCCTCCTTCAAGGTCCAGCGTCGTTGCTGGCACACCGTCCAGTGTCCACCCCCTTTGGGGCTCAGCGTCTTCGTTGGCACGCCGCCTGACTTATGGGGGTGGATTATGAGATTCCATATCGGTTGGAGAGGGGAACAAAACATTCTTTATAAGGGTGTGTAAACCTCTCCCTAGCAAACACGTCTTAAAAACCTTGAGGGAAAGTTCAAAGAGGACAATATTTGCTAGCGGTGGGCTTGGACGGTTACAAAAATAGAATTTATACGGTCACACCCTCGCAAGGAAGACAAAGACAAGCTGAGTAATACACTTTCTAGTTTCTATTAATGGTTCTCATCTATCATGCCAAATACTAAATATTGGGAAATTTTGTTAGCATAATAAGATGATTCTTTCAATTGCTTAATGTTTTTTCACCACATGCTACATTTTGTTTCATTCTTATTACAAACTCTCAGCTCTTATTCAGATCACGAAACTGGAAAGATACGAGATGATGCAAGTGCGAACGAGCTGATGATGATCCGTGATGAGATGATGAATGCAACTAAAAGACTCGGCTGAACGATGTCGTAATCCTGGTAAGATTAAAAAATGATCTCTGTGCTAACTTTTAATGGCAGGGGTAGAGGTTCTTCGAGGTGTATGGTGATATAATTGTGTGCTACACTCCATGAGATTGGTATTAGCCTTTTGCAGTTCCTTTAGCTTTTGCCTCAACTGAAACCTTGTAAGTTCTACTCATTTTCTTTCTGTCTGAAGAATATTTTTCCGTTTTTGAACTTAGTTTCTGATGTGTGAATATTGAGCGGTAGAAGTAAGGAGATTTGAACGTCTAACTTCGAAGTCTGAAAAAAATGTGCCTTGACTTGTTAAGCTATGGTTAAGTTGACATCATTGTATAGCCATTTTTACTGGAGATGTTCATTTTACTTGCAGGGTCGAGAGGGAATTTCCCGTTTAGACTGAGAATGAGGAAGGGAATCAAGACTATGTAACATTTGAATTTTTAAAAATTACTTTCGTAGAACCTTGTGTGCGGGAATCTCTGTCCTGGTTCTCATAAATATAAATTGAGAATTTTTTAGGGATGTTCGTCCCGGTAAACATCTCTAATTTTTTTTTTACTTGATAACATTTAAAATCAGCTAAATAAGTTTGTTCTTCTTCAAAAGTTACATCAAAGTATGAGAACAATTATCACGTAATTCTTTCTAAATATGTAGAAGATGAGCGGATGAAAAGTCGCAAAGCTCCAGGAAAGGTCATGAAGTTAGATCCTCGGGATCGAATATTACCCAAAACTTCACAAAAGGTCTTTTGAAGTTGGATTCTCGAGACTGAATATTACCCAAATCTCCTTGAACTTAGATTCTAGGGATCAAATATTACCCGTCTCCACACTTCTATCTACCAAACGAGTCTCAAAGTTATTTCGAGTGAAACACTTGAATTCGTGTTTTAATTATTTTTTTCAGTCACTAGGGATCGCCATGGGCAACTATTGTCACTAACCACTAGTGATGGGCACCGCCTAAGCCACCATGGACTACTACTCTCCACTTTCAGGATCACCGATACCCTACTTCATCGACCACTATCATCCTCAAATCATTGCCACCTCATCATCATGACAACTCGCAAACGAACCATATCAGTCGTTCAAGCTACACTCTCCGACCTCCCTAGATGCTACAGTCCCTTTTTGACTTACCCACAAAGGTTAAGGTCCATCCCTTGGAAAGAGACCACTAGTGGCAACTATAAACATCTTGTTTTTCAACGCTCGCTATCCTCTTGTTAACCATGGTTTGGTCTCCATTGTATTAAACAACAAAGTTGTCGCTCTCTCGCATTTCATTATTGATACAAAAGTTGGCCACATACTACCTAATAATTGTGATGTTCGAGTAAAAGAAAAGTACATGAATGAACAAAAAAACATCTGCAAATGAAAGTAATATTGAGAAAGACTCAGAAGAATTGAAGTTCCTACCTAATCCAACTCGGTGTACTCTTTCTTTTTTTTTTTTTTTTTTTTTTTTTTGTGGCTCGATCCTAAGAACTTCAAAATTAAGCATGCTTAGCTTACAGTAATCATATGTTCGGTGACTTCCTGAATTTTTTTTAAAAAAAAAACATGTAGGTAGAAACAAAATATGCTAAAATGATAAGTATGTCACAGAAAAATGTTTAAATACTTAATAAAATAAATATATGTATATATAACTGTACGTAAGCAAAAAAAAAAAAAAAAGTTTTAAAATTAACAAAAAAAAAAAATTTAGGTTTGTTCGGTTGGGTTGAGAGATTTTTTTTTTACCGAACTCAAAAGTTGGGTTGGACCCGATCTGAAAATTTAACAAACACAAATTGATCTATAATTATTCACTTAAAAAAAATCAATAAAAAAAAGTGAAAATGGTAACATATTAACAAAGTTCAACATTGTTATAAAACTAAAAACCGCTCAACTTGAAGATTTTATATAATAAGGAAATAATTTCTTAACCTTAAAATTTATATAATTTTATTTGGCTCGAGTCAATTTGAAGATTTTATCCACGAACCCAAAATCGAACCGATTTAGTTCGGATTCAGAAAAATGAACCCAACCCTACCGAAAATGCTAATCCAACCAAACTCAATCCTTATAGTTCGGGTTGGATTGGTCCGAGTTGAATGTAACACTCCTAATTTCAACTCAATCTAGTTTTAGGAGAATACATGAATCAACTCGATTCATAAAGTTTTCATTTATTTGAACCCAACCAAATCCAACCCAGCCAAGTAAGTTCAAAACCCAACTCAAACCATACAAATTGGATTGGGTTGATCGAGTTTTTCCGACCATCGAATATTTTAAACACCTTAATCATTTCCACTTGAAACACGAAATTTCTAACCTCTATTTGACACGTGTTCTCGTAGGATAAACTTAGTTATCAATTGAATCTCTCACCAAACCCGCTCGATATAGGTTGTCCAAATTTCCTTAATCTAGTTTTGTCCAAAAGAAAAATGATTTGAAATCATGTGCAGTCTCAAAGAAATGACTCATAATCCGAAAGGCATAATAAAAGATATGCAAATATATGATAAAAGCTAAGTCGGCATACCAAGAAAAAAAGAAGTGTAAAATTGAAGCAATGTTGTTCAACCATAAATTAATGAATTCTCACTATTTTTGATGTAAATGTAACAAAATCACTCCAATTTTGACTTTAGGGAGCTTTGGTTTTGTCGATAAGATTAAGATTTGTTAGTGGATGCTCGAGGAATGAAGAAAGGCTCAAAAGAATGGAAAGATATTGCTTATACCAATAATATGCACGGGTCTTTATCAGTAGCTAAACATGTCTAGTTTGGAGCAATCCTATGAAACACGTAAGTGGAGACAAAACATGTTAAAAAAACTCGTTGTTGGTTTCTGGGGAGATAAAGTGGTCATGTCTCGAGGATTGTCAAAGGCATTAGTTACGTATTACCATTAGCCTCACAATTTTAAAATGTAAAAGCAGATATTGTTCTCTTTGGGTTTTCCCTTTCGGATTTTCCCTCAAGGCTTTAAAAGCCGTCTGTTAGGGGAAGGTTTCCACACCCTTATAAATGGTGTTTTATTCTCCTCCCAACCAATGTGGGACATCATAGTCCACCCCCCTTCGGGGCCCAACGTCCTCGCTGGCACTCTTTCCTTCCTCCAATCGATGTGGGACCGCCACCAAATCCACTCCCCTTTGAGGCCCAGCGTCCTTACTGGCATATCGCCTCATGTCTACCCCCCTTCGGGGAACAGCGAGAAGGCTGACACATTGTCCGGTGTCTGGCTTTGATACCATTTTTAACGGCCCAGATCCACCGCTAGTAGATATTATCCTCTTTGGACTCTGATACCATTTGTAACGGTCTAGATCCACCGCTAGTAGATATTTTCCTCTTTGGACTCTGATACCATTTGTAACGCCCCAGATCCAAAACTAGTAGATATTGTCCTCTTTGGACTGTGATACCATTTGTAACGGCCCAGATCCAACGCTAGTAAATATTGTCCTTTTTGGACTTTTCCTTTCGGGCGTTACATTATCCAATGTCTGGCTTTGATACCATTTGTAACAGCCCAGATCCATCGCTAGTAGATATTGTCCTCTTTGGACTTTGATACCATTTGTAACAACCCAGATCCATCGCTAGTAGATATTGTCCTCTTTGGACTTTGATACCATTTGTAACGGCCCAGATCCATCGGTAGTAGATATTGTCCTCTTTGAACTTTTCCTTTCGGGCTTTCTCTCAAAGGTTTAAAACGCGTCTACTAAGGGAAGGTCTCCACACTCTTATAAATGATGCTTTGTTCTCCTCCCCAACCAATGTCTAAAATAGTCATGTTACTCTTCGTTTCTTCTATCCTTCGAATGTAGTTTCCATTTATCCATGTACTCGTTCTGTAAAAGTCCAAGCCCACCGCTAACCGATATTGTCCTCTTTGAGCTTTCCCTTTCAAGCTTCCCCTCAACGCTTTAAAACGCGTCTCCTAAGAAAAGGTTTCCACACCCTTATAAAGGGTATTTCGTTCTCCTCCCCAACCAATGTCGGATATCACACTTTCATTACTCGAGTATCACAAAACATTCTTCAATTTTTAATTTGAGTTTATATATATATATATATATATATAAATCAATTCAATGATTCAATGCCAATAAAAAAAAATTAATTTTTAAGCAAGTCATCAACATTATTATTAATATTATAATTAATGTGTCAAATCAAAATAATAATAAAAAAAAACAAATAAATTAGACTGATGAACTAGAATATTCTCAATAATAGAACTAGAAGAACTAAATAAAAAATAATATTTTTTATTTTAATAAAAAAAAAAATAATAATAAACAAAAATTAATAAAATTAAATGATTGGATAATAAGATAAGGAGAAAGAAGTGGAGATGACAAGGACAATAGTATGGAACAAAATTGGATAAGAATTAGGCTTTTAATTTCTTTTAATTTTTTTATTTTTAAATATCTTTATAAGCCTTTTTATTAAAATATAAAAAAAGAAAAAGAAAAAGAGAAAAAGAGAAAAATAAATAAATAAATAAAGTTATCTCAATCTTATAAAGCTAAATCAATCTTTTTCCATCTTTCCCTATAAATTTTAAATAATAAAAAATAATTAATTAAAATTATTTAATATATAGGTTTTTTTTTTTTTTGGAGGATGAAACTGTCGATGTTCGGGATGGTAATAGATGTCTTCTATACACTAATGCGAGCACAGCTCTACTAGTGAAACTATCGATGTTCGGGTTTAGGGCTCAATTTCCTCACTTCACTCTGAGCAGAGGTGTTCGTGAGTTGGGTTGGGTTGGGTCGAGTTGTAAAATTTCTCAACCCAAACAATGAGCCCAGCCATAATTTTTTTATTATTAGGTTGGTTCGAGTTGTTCGAGTCATTTATTAAAAAATTTATTTTTAATAAATTTAAATTGTAAATTTGTATTTTGAAAAAATATTTTTTTAAAAAAATATATTATTTAAGAGTGGTTGGAAATAAATAATAAAAATAAAATAATTATATGGCTTAAATTTGGATTATGAAATTAAATAAAAATAAAAGAATTGTATATTTTTTAAATTCTCAATTTAGTTTCTTCCACTAGAAATTATTAAAATTAAAATATTATGCGTAAATAATATTTATTATTATAAAAAAAAATTTAATTTGTCCATCACCAAAATTCAAAATGGTTAATTAATAATAAACTTTATTTATTTCTAGTGAGCTAACGTCTAGGTAGCATCATGCATGTATTAATATATTTATATTACTAAAATAATAATTTAATTATACAATAATTTTTTCGTTGAAAAATTTTAACCGTTAAATTTTCATTTTAATCCCCCTGAAAGGTTTTCGACATGAGCTTATAGTCACGTGTTTTTAAGAGTTTCTGGTTGGTGGGGTTGACGAGCTTATCAATTCAAACAGAGTTTGCAACCCCAGCCCTAAAATGTCGTAAAATTCAAATATCAAACATTCACAAGTCACACGATACTACCATTGGTTTCAAACGTAAAATATTCTTAATATTCGTAATAATCTTAAAAAGTAAGGTCGGGTATAATTGGATTGTAACTCTATTTTTGAGTTGGTCGGGTTGACTAGCTGCCCGACACTGCGTTCATTGACAAAATTACCAAATGTCAACTTACGAACTGATTCGAATTTTTCGATGTTTCAAAAATTCAATTGAACTAAAAAGAATCCAACCAACATAATTTTTTAATGTAAATTTTTTGTTGACAAATTTTAACTGTTAAATTTTCATTTTAATCCCCATCAACGTTTCCGACACGAGCTCATAGTCACGTGTTTCTAAAAGTTTTCGGTTGGTTGGGTTGATGAGCTTAGCAATTCAAATAGAGTTTGCAATCTCGACCAACCGAATTCAATTTTTTTAAAAAATCATAATTATCCACGATACACGTTACATTGATAGCTAACATGTCATAAAATTCAAACATCAAACGTTCACAACTCACGACACTAACATTGATTTCAAACGTCAAATATTCTTAATTTTCATAATAATCTTAAAAAGTAAGGTAGGGTAAGATTGAGTTGTAGCTCTATTTTCGGGTTGGTCGAGTTGACTAACTGCCCGACATTGCGTTCGTTGACAAAACTGCCAAATGTCAACTTACGAACTGATTCGAATTTTTCGATTTTTCAAAAATTCAACTCAATAAAAAAAAATCGAATCCAACCCAACATAATTTTTTAATACGTAAATTAATGTTAAATGTATTAAATATGTATTGAATGCGAAATTAAAATTTTTATAAAATTTTGAAAAGTATTAAAGTTGTAATTTAATGAAAAAAAGAAAAACCATAAAGGGAAATGGCATTTTCAGTAATTACAAAAAAGGTCACTGTTCTTGCATCATCTGGTTTCGTCTTCTAGTTCTTTTGCAGATACAAAACCAGCGATACCATTTCATACAAAATTTGCAGAAACTTTTGCAGTTATTTGGATCGATCTCATTCCCACAGAATCGACGGAGGTAAGAAGAGGCTTTGATTCCGGAAATATTATACCCTTCTTCAATCATTCAACCAACCAGCACCCGTTTCTGAATTCGGCTTTGAGAAGAATCCGTTCATGAAGAATCCACTTCGGTTTGGCCGTCTATGGCGTTTTCAAAGCTTTTCCCTGAGTTCTACGAAGGATTTTCCATGACCCAAACCACTTCTCTGCTATTGCGATTTCCGTTTTTCCCTTTCGTTACGGAATCACTGGCTTCTCAAATCTTCCGCCATTTCCGTTGTCGCGAGTTGCTTCGAGTTCACTCGCGATTAATCCTCCTCCTCTCTTTGCCGTTCATTTACTTCTTTCTTTCGAATCCTCGTCGTTCTGTTGTTCTCAAGTTGTTTGTCGTACTTTTCTTCTCCATCGCGGCTTTGATTTTTCTCAATCTTGCAGTCCCTCGTTTCCCTTCTTTGATTCGTTTGTTTCTTGTTCGATCGTCTCCAATTAACGCGTCGTTCTCATCTTCTGCTGCGACGAAGGCTGTTTCCAATGTTCGTTGGTCGATTGGGTCGAACCCCAAATCGGAGAAACGGTTGATGTCGGGTTCTTGGGTGAAAGTTTACAGTAATGGCGACGTTTACGAGGGGGAATTTCATCAAGGGAGGTGCTCGGGTAGTGGGGTTTATCACTACCATATGAGTGGAAGATATGAAGGCGATTGGATTGATGAGAAGTATGATGGGTATGGCGTAGAGACATGGGCGAAAGGGAGTAGGTACCGTGGTCAGTACAGACAAGGCTTGAGGAATGGAATTGGGATTTACAGATTCTACACAGGGGATGTCTATGCTGGGGAGTGGTCTAATGGCCAGTGCCATGGTTCTGGAGTTCATACTTGTCAAGATGGGAGCCGCTATGTTGGGGAGTTCAAGTGGGGTGTCAAACATGGATTGGGTCACTACCATTATAGGTAATTTCCTTGAAGTTTTGGATCTTGAGAATCATTCTGTGTTTATTTTATCTGTGTTCTTGTTGGATATCTGCATTTTGCTCATTTGGAGATGGTTATCTCTGTTTCTCCTATTTGATGATGAGGTGTGGGAGTGGCTAGTGTTTGTTATCATTATCAAAGTGTTTCTAGCTTGTTGTTTATGAGTTTATGTCTTGGTTTTGTTTTGTTTTGTTTTCCTTTTTAGCTTAATTATTCAGATGCATTCAAAGCAGAACTTATTAGGAAACTGTGGTAGATCTTTTCCATCTAAGAAGTAAGAACTTCTCCTTTGATTGTCCACATTCACTTGTCTAATTGTGAATTGTGATTTCATCTCTTGGAAAAGGAAGATCATGTTATATTATTATTTTCCTCGTGAGTTATCTCTCTTCTCTAGCTTGAAAATAGTTTCTGGAATCATCAATCTAACAGTCCAGTCAAGCCCACCGCTAATAGATATTGTCTTCTTTGGGCTTTTCCTTTCGGGCTTCCCCTCAAGATTTTTAAAACGCGTCTCCCCGCTAGGGAGAGGTTTCCACACCCTTATAAAGAATATTTCGTTCTCCTCTCAAACCGATGTGAAATCTCACAATCCACCCTCTTTGGGGCACAGTGTCCTCATTGGTACTCGTTCCTCTCTCCAATCGATGTGGGATCTCACAATTCATGCCCTTCCGGGGCCCAACGTCCTCGTTGGCACACCGTCGAGTATCCACTTTCCTTTGAAGCTCAGCGTCCTCGTTGGCACACCACCCGGTGTCTGGCTATGATACCATTTGTAACAGCCCAAGCCCACCGCTAACAGATATTGTGAGACCCCATATCGATTGGAGAGGGGAACGAGTGCTAGCGTAGACGCTGGGCCCCGAAGGGGGTGGATTGTGAGATCCCACATCAGTTGGGGAGGAGAATGAAGCATTCTTTATACGGGTGTGGAAACCTTTCCTTAGCAGACGCATTTTAAAAACCTTGAGGGAAAGCCCAAAGAAAACAATATTTATTAATAGTGGGCTTTGGCTATTATAGCCGAAGTAGTTGGGTATTCATCTCTTGATTTTTTACTCAAGAGAAGAGTTCTAGCCGAAGTAGTTGGGTATTCATCTCTTGATTTTTTACTCAAGAGAAGAGTTCAATAATACTGTTCTTGTATGGATTGTGAATCTGTCTCTTGAATAGATGAACTTATACTATTTTTATTCTTAAGGAGATTTATTATTTGGTGTTGTCTTGTACATTGTTTTCTAATATCAATGTGAATCATTAGATTTATCCCAAAAGGAGAGAACAAACTGCTGCCTGTTTCTTACCAAACTTCTCAGTTACTCTGTGCTATTGAAGTCAGATTTAAAAAAAACACCTATCAGGTTGAGTCGAAAAGTAATAACAGATTCTACTTGAGATGCCTCCAGTGGTTTATGATCCGATTTCCTAGAACTCTGAACTTACAAGGGGTTGATGACTGTTATAATATCTCACAATGCAGAAACGGAGATACGTACGCAGGAGAGTATTTTGCAGACAAGATGCACGGCTTTGGAGTTTATCGGTTTGGCAATGGACATCGTTACGAGGGAGCTTGGCACGAAGGAAATAGGCAAGGGCTTGGTATGTACACTTTTAGGAATGGAGAGACACAGTCTGGTCATTGGCAAAATGGTGTTCTTGATGTGCCCAGTCTTGAAAGTAGCCATCCAGGGTCTTCTTATGCTGTCAGTCATGCTAAGGTTCTCGCTGCAGTCCAGGTAAAGTCTTTATTGTTTGTTTTAGTGAAGAATATTGGAACCTAAAGATTCTGATAGAAATCACTTTTATTGTTTAAGGATACCCCTTTGTCTCTAATGTGCTCCCCTATATATATCACACTCAATATCTCAAAATAAGTCCACATAGTAACTAACATGGGGGGCATATATAAAATAGTAATTCACTCGTGTCTCTTGTTTTGTGAGATCCCATATTGGTTGGAGAAGGGAACGAAGTATTTCTTATAAGGGTGTGGAAACCTCTCCCTAGCAGACGTGTTTTAAAATTGTGAGGCTGACTGCGATATGTAACGGGTCAAAGTGAACAATTGTTAGTGGTGAGCCTAGAATGTTGCAAATGGTATCAGAGCCAGACATCGGACGGTGTGCCCGCGAGGACTCTGGGTCCTCCAAGAGGGGTGGATTGTGAGATCCCACATCAATTGGAGAGGGGAACGAAACATTTCTTAGCGGTGGGCTTGGACTGTTACATGTTCGCTCTTCCATGCGTGTAAGAGCCTGACCTAAGAGGCCTATCAAATTCATTCTTTCATTGGGATTTTATAAGAGCCTGACCTATAAATCGACCTTTTTGTTAGTTGAACTTTTGATTTTAGTTCATCGCTGATAGGTATATGGAAACTAGTCTGAAATCCAGTAGACTTAAAAAGTAGCAAGTCTCAAGTGTTGCATAGATTCAAAGTGTATGCTACACTTTTAAACACACTCAAGCCACTAACATGATTCATCATTTTATATTCTGATGATACTTCATGATTAGAGCCTATGGGTAAAAGAGAAAGCACGATACTGTTCATTCGTTTCAAACTCGATAGTAACGAATGTATACGTAACAATTATGTTAACCGAGTGTCGTCACTGGAGCAGGAAGCAAGGAGAGCTGCAGAGAAAGCATTTGATGCAGGAAGGGTGGACGAAAGAGTTAACAAAGCTGTAGCTGCTGCTAATAAAGCAGCAAACGCAGCAAGAGTTGCAGCTGTGAAGGCTGTCCAGAAACAAATGGATCAAGAAACCTACACCAACCCACCAATCTTACTGGTCTGATCTTAAACGTCCTGTATGTAGTGACGACCTTTCCAGCACGATGCTTTTCCAAACGGGTAGAAGCCACGGGAAACGCTGGTAAATGGATGTTCATTTTTGTTCTAAATTCTTTACCCTCCTATTAGGCTCTTACAATTGAAAGGTACCTGCCTGGATCACTTGCACCGCCGTGCAGCAGGACGAACGACCGATCGAGGAGCCGATAGGTTTATTTCCATCTCGCTCTCTCTCTCTCTCTCTTATTGTACATAGAATGAGTTGAACCGAAAACGAGAAGACTGCTAGAGTTGAGCTTTTTGTAAGTAATTATATGTATAGCAGTAGAGATGAAGGATGGAACTATGCTGACAATATTATGTTGTTGTTGTATAGTGAAAACCAGCCTGAGCTCTGGGCTCTATGCCTTCTCCACTTCCTTATGTTTCTGTATTGTGTTTTGTTTCGACTCCCTTTCGAGATCATCGGAGCCACACCTCCCTCGACTTGAATATCCTACAAGTTTTCTTGACACGACCAAATATAATAGTCATCCGATTGTTTCATGAGAATAGTCGAAGTACGTGCAAGTGAATTCTTGATGTTTTCAGATGGATGAATATATATATAGTTAGGATTTTTGTGAAGGAAAACGATCCTTCTCTATTTTGATTTTCCTTCAAACCTGAAAAAGAAGTGGAACACGGTTATAACTCTGGTGATGAGAGTTAGGCATTTAGAGACGACTATCGAAATTTAACATTTTCAAATTCTCATTTTCTCTTATGATTTTGACTTTTTAAATTATATACATATTTGTTAGTTATTTTTAACCTATTATTTTAAAATTAGACTTACAAAAATTATTGAAAAAAAAAAAGTCAAGCTCAGATGCGCTCTAAACTTCGTCAGAATTATCGGACGGTTATGATCGACCCAGATCACTGTAGGCGCTTGATTCTTCATGGCAAGACCAAGGAATGCACCAGCCGGGAATCGAACCCGGGTCTGTACCGTGGCAGGGTACTATTCTACCACTAGACCACTGGTGCTTTTTTGTTTATTTATCTTTTTTATTATTTTAAATTGTATTTATTTAATCTTTTTATAACTAATTATTGAGATGCCATGTTTATAGTTGCCCATTGCCTCTTTCCCTTTCTAATTATTTATTTCATTTTACTTTTTAATAATATAATTGTTTTTAGGGTAAATTTTAATCTTTATTTTATTTCTACCCTTATCAACTTATATTAATTTTTACCCTAAAATCAAATTAGATCAGTATTATATTATCTACTGCCAAAAAAAATAACAAAAACTTTGGTAAATTCACTAATTTCAATTATATATATGTATATAACTTTCTTCACAAGATCTTCCTTTGACTATAACGCTCGTCATTTCACTTATGGAATCCTCATGTAAGAATGAGAGAATTTGACTAGATAAATTGTGAAGGGTTATACTAGCTTGGGTCATAGCCTTCCTCACCTTCTTGCCAAATCTTAACCTTTCTAATAAAACTTCTTATTCCATCAGGATTCTCTCTAGAAGGTCGATGAGGAGGCTCCCGAACTCGATATGGATGTGTATAAGGAAAGGTATCCAGTCTGTATTAGGGCAATTGCAGAGACTCAACTGAAAGAAAGGGTCGCTCAGAAAGCGCTAGGACGAGGTACCTAATCAAGAACACTATCTTTTGACCTACTCGGTTATAAAACTTAAGTCAATATCGACTTTTCTAGAAAGGGTGATCAAAGTGATAGAGTGGAAATATATCTTATTTCATAATTTTGGATAAGTTCAAAATTTTGATTTTTACCACATGGTGATAGTCCACTATTTTTAAAGTTGATCACAGATGTTCGAGCTCTGTGTACCAATTAGGGTTGAACTAGACGACCTAATCTATGAAAATGACAAAAAGGATTTTGACGCTTTTAAAATATCTTTTCAACTTTTGAAATAAACCAATCATATTTTTAAGTTATTGTACGATTTGATCCGAGTTTAGAAAGTTGCATTTTCCAACCCTAGCCATTCCATTTCATTGCAACTTGCCGAAAAAAAAAAAAGGACAGTAGGAATTAAAATCAACATCTTATCAGTATAACAATGTCGATCAAAATATGGACGGTAACCTATTAGTTTAAAATTCTAAACTTACCCGATGAAATTTTATTAAAAAACATCAAATTTTACCAACAAAAAAAAATGGTCTTGGAAATAAAAATAAGACACTAATAACAGTGCTGATTTTGTAATTAAAATGCAAAAAAAGTCTAAAAAAATATTTTTATTATTAAAAAATTAAAAAAGTCTCTAGCTCAGATGTGCGGATGCCTTCGTCAAAATGATCAGACGGTTGTGATCGACCGAGATCACACTCAGCGCTAAATTCATCATCGCAGGACAGACAAACATGCACCAGCCGGGAATCGAACCCGGGTCTGTACCATGGCAGGGTACTATTCTACCACTAGACCACTGGTGCTTTTTGGATTTTTCATCGTCATTTTTTTTATAAATTGTTAAAATATTTCTAAATGTTTAAACATATTACATATTTTCAACTAGTGTCTAATTTTAATAATATATTTTCTAAATATTTATGTATTCGTTTTATTAAATATGTTATCCAATTTCCTTGATTTTATTTGATTAATATACTGTTTTGTATAACCATCGAGAGAATTTTTACTTAAAAAAGAAATAAAAATGGTCGTAGGTATGCTTATTTCTTCATGACAAGCAAACGGATGCACTAGCCGAGAAATCAAACCTAGGTTTATACCATGACGAGGTACTATTTTACCACTAAATCATTGGTGCCTTTGGAACTAATTAATTATTTAAAAACTATTTTATATATTTTCAAAAAATATGTAAAATTAATAAAGAAACAAGATTTCTAAAAAATGAGTTAAATTTTCTCATTATAAATACTGTAATTATAATCTATATTTTTCAATAAAAAATAAATAAATAGAAATCTTGCTCTGATACGCTAATGGATTCGTCTGCATATCGGACGGTTGTGATCGACCCAGATCACAATTAGCGTCATAATCTTCATTGCAAGAAACTGGATGCACCAGCCGGGAATCGAACCCGGGTCTGTACCGTGGCAGGGTACTATTCTACCACTAGACCACTGGTGCTTCTTGACTTATTTATGATCATATTTATTTAAATAATTATATTTCTTGATAATTTTTTTTATTAGTTTTGTATTTTTCAATTAATGCCTAATTTTAACCGTAAATTTTCTAAATATTTTATATATACTATGTATAATTGTATGTCACAAATTGTTTATTTTATTTTATTTTATTTTTATAGACATAATTACAACTTCTTAATATTTTTCTATTTTTTTAAAGCAAATTTATTTAATCTTTTTATTTACACTGTATATAGCTAATATTGAGATGCCATTTCCCTTTCTAATTATTTATTTTTTACTTTTGAATAATATAATTGTTTTTAGGGTAAATTTTAATCTTTATTTTTTTTTTATTCCTAGACTTATCAACTTCTATTAATTTTGTTGATCATTAACTTAGATCGGTATTCTCAATATCTGATAATTAACCATTTAATAATATATGTATCACAATGAGAACAATTAAAATACCGACTATACAATGTTTTTATTCAGAGTTTTATTTATTCCATACTTTCCCCTAGGTTGATTTCATATTACAATATATTTATAAACATTTATTAACGTTAAATTTTTATATATATACATATAACGTTAAATTTATATATATATATATATATATATATATATATATATATATATATTAAGGGTATTAAAACACGATACTAATAATAATAAAAAAATAAAATAAGGGTATTTTTAATTTTTTTTAAAAAAATTGGGATATTTATACTTTTTTGAATTAATTTAGTTTGCTTCATAGTAAAAAGGAAGCGCGTGGATCTACGTGTTATTTTGTGCGAGTGGTTTTGAATTCTGACCCAAAAAAAAAAAAAAACAACCACTCTAATTATTTATTGGCCAAAAATTACGGGACCGAAAAAGAAAAGATTCAAAATTTTATTTTTCTTAAAAAAAATAAAAAATAAAATAAAAAAAATAAAAACTTCGTCGCCTCTGGTTTTTGAGAGCCAAAACCCCCCTCCCCTTCGCCCCCTCCTTCCCCTTCTTCCCCTCTGTGAACGCAAAGACCTTCGAATTCCAGGAAAAAAACATATACCCAACAACCCCCTGATTTTGTACCATTCAATTGTAAATCTTAGAAAACTAAAAAAACCAATCAAATTCATGTTATTTCTGTACAATACATGGAGGTTTTTGTGTAAATCACGAGGTGGAGCTGTTTTTTGTTCTTCCGTATTCCATTTAAGGGGAAGAATCTGAAAGGATTTGGTTGTTGGGTTTTGTTTTGATCGCTATCTCGGTCTGCATTGTTCAGATCTATCTGAATTCGGGTTTCATTGATTCTGGGTTTATTTGTAGCTGATTCTTTTTTTGGATTTGTTGGCTGAGGTTTTTAAGTTTTTGATTTGTTTTTTCAATTCGGTGTTTGCGAGAGATGAGGAATGTGTGAAATGGTGATGATCTGATTGTATTCTTTTGTTGGGTTTTTCGCCATTGATATCAATCAATCAGATTCTTAGAATTTTGGGAGGTAGGTGCTTAAGATCTCGAGGAAACTTTGCGGATTTTAGCTGTTGCAATGCTTGTAATGTGCCTTAATCTCTGAGGAGGACAAGAATCGGTGTATTTTGTTTCATTGAGGTTTGAATTTGAAGATGGATTCCTTAGCTTCGATCAGCGAAGAGCTTGCAGATATCGAGGGGCAAATCAATGATATCCTCCGAGCTTTGTCGTAAGGATTCTTCGATTTCGTTCTGTTCTAGAAACTGAGATTTTTTTATGAGCTTAAATCTCTTGTTTGGCTCTGTTTTTGTTATATCTACAGAAATGGATTTCAGAAGTTGGAGAAGATCAAGGATACAAATAGGCGGAGTAGACAATTGGAAGAGCTGACTGATAAGATGCGAGAATGTAAGAGGTATAAGCATCTGATTCTTTCTTTGTTCTGTAATTTCCATGGTGTCTGCATATATTCTCTTCGTTTTGTTTTCAAACTTTGGAAGTTCTTCCAATAATTCAAGTTCTATCAGATGGTGTTTTTGAATTTTAGTCTCTCCACCTCTGTTTGGCTTCACATCTCTCTCCATCTTTAGATATCTAGAGAGAGATAGACATAGAGATCCACTGTGTGATCAACCCGATTGTGTCTTACATGTGCTCTGATTGGTTGAACCAAATGTCTTAAAAGATATTTCCTCTAGGCTCACCTCGAGACAAGGTTCAAACTATCCGTTTCAGAACGAATGCGCTCTTTGGATCATGAGAGAGAGAGCGTCATGTCTCTTACAGCAAATGCTTGTTTCTCCATGAACACATTGAAGCTCAATGATCACTAGAAGAATAGTATGAATCCTTAGTTTCCTAAAAGATGTAAAGCTTCCTTGTGTGTGTACTATTCCACCTTCAAGCTTTACTACTTTCATTGTTTAGGTTTTGATTAACGTAGTTGACAAATTTTTTTAAAAGTATGTGGACCCTATTAGTGATAAAAGTGATGATGTTGAGAATGAACTTTTATAATCTTTATTTAAGAAGGTGACAATGGATAGATGTCTTTATATGTATATATACTTTTTGTACTTTCATACCATCATTATGCTTAGTAATTCTTCATTATAATTTAAATGATATGCAAATTAAGGTCTCATTTTGTGAGATCTCACATTGGTTGGGAGGAGAACGAAACATTCTTTGTAAGAGTGTGGAAACTTCTCCCTAGCATACGCGTTTTAAAACCCCCAAGGGAAGCCCGAAAGGGAAAGTCCAAAGAGGACAATATCTGTTGGTGGTGGGCTTTGGCTATTACAAATGGTCTAAGAGGCAGACACTGCGTGGTGTACCAGCGAGGATGCTGGGTCCCAAAGGGGGTGGATTGTGAGATCCCATATCAGGTGGGGAGGAGAACGAAACCTTCTTTATAAGGGTATGGAAACCTCTTCCTAGCAGATGTGTTCATTAGTCTTTAATTAAAATTCTTTTTAATCTTGATGATGGATGCTTATCATTAAAGATATAGTTCCTTTGTCTTGTTCCTGTTTCTTTTGGTGAACACTTTCTGTTTGTTTCGTTTACAGGCTTATAAAAGATTTCGATCGAGAAGTCAAGGATTTGGAAGGCGGGAATGACTCGAACACTAATAAAATGCTTAGTGAGAGGAAGCAGGCTATGGTGAGATGTAAACTTTGAATTCTTTGTAAAGAAATCTTCTTTTCCTTCTTATTTGCTGGTAGTGCATTGTTATTAACTATTCTGTATTTTTATGCAGATCAAAGAGTTGAACTCATATGTTGCCCTTAAAAAGCAGTAAGATTCAATATCTACCATCGATAATCTTTTCGTTTTCATTCGACTTTCTGAATATCTCTCTTCTTCCTGTCTAATCGATAATTTTCTTTTGCTCATCTCGAGTGAGATAAAACAAATGTATTTGGTTGCTTCTACGAGCTTATTTTCTTCATTTGACTCGGGTTTGTGAGATCCCACATCGGTTGGGGAGGAGAACGAAACACTCTTTATAAGGGTGTGGAAACCTTTCCCTAAAAGACATGTTTTAAAAACCTTGAGGGGAAGCCCGAAAGGGAAAGCCCAAAGAGGACAATATCTGCTAGCGGTGGACTTGGGCCGTTACATGGTTCCTCTCCTTACTCCACTTATAACAGTTGAATCGTACATCTCTGCTTATATATGAAACAGTAACAGTTCATAATGGTTGTTTCTTGATGCAGACATGCAAGCACTCTCGATAACAAGCGTATCGATCTCTTTGATGGACCTGGTGAAAATTATGGGGAAGAAAATGTGTTGCTAGCCTCAAGTATGCGTACTTTGCTTTTGTTATTTAGTTCACGAGTTAAACCACTTTGAATATTGTTGTTGTTCTGAGAACTGTGAATATGAGCTGAGACCTGAGATACTAAAATGGGCAAAAACCTGAATGTTTTGGTCTAAATGTTGGTTGGTTTCAGCATAGGTTCTGAATGTTTTCTAAACCGATCGGTGGGTTCGACCAAATCCGGGCTTGCCTATGATCTATATTATGTCTGCTGAATTTACTAATGTATTAGGCTGTATATGTTATTGCAGATATGACAAATCAACAATTGGTTGATAGGGGAAACAAAATGATGGATGAGACTGATGAAGCAATTGAGAGGTCTAAAAAGGTTAGTTTGTCATTGAAAGATCAAATTTCTGCTTTCTTTCTATCGGTTGGGGAGGAAAATGAATTATTCTTCATAAGGGTGAGGAAACCTCTCCCTAGTAGACACGTTTTAAAAACCTTGAGAAACCTTGAGGGGAAGTCTGAGAGAGAGCCCAAAGAAGATAATATCTGCTAGCGGTGGGCTTGAGTTATTACAAATGTTATAAGAATCAGTCACTGGGTGGTGTTCCAGCAAAGACGTTGGGCCCTGAAGGAGGGTGGATTGTGAGATCCCACATCAAGAGAGGAGCAAGTGCCTGTGAGGACGCACTGTGAGATCCCACATCAAGAGAGGAGCGAGTGCCTGTGAGGATGCATTGTGAGATCCCAATCGATTGGAAAGGGGAATGAGTGTCAGCGAGGACGCAGGGCCTTGAAGAGGGGTGAATTGTGAGATCCCACATCGGTTGAGGAGGAGAACGAAACATTCTTTATAAGGATGTGGAAACCTCTCCCTAGGAGACGCGTTTTAATTACTTCGAGGGAAAGCCCGAAAGAGAGCCAAAAGAGGGCAATATCTACTAGCAGTGGGCTTGAGCTGTTACAAATGATATTAGAGCTAGTCATCGAGCGGTGTGTCAGCGAGGGCGCTGGGCACCGAAGGGGGATAGATTGTGAGATTCCACATCGATTGGAGAGGGGAACGAGTGCCAGCAAGGACGCTGGTCCCGAAGGGGGTAGGTTGTGAGATCCCACATCGATTGGAGAGGGAAACGAGTGCCAGCGAGGACACTGGGCCCTGAAGGGGGG